TGATGCTGTTTTGTTCATAATTGTTTATGCAATTTACGAAATTATATTTGAGTTAATTTAGATGTAATGCACGTTTTTTATAGACAGTTATTTCCTTGCGTTGACAATTTAAATGCGCTTTTATTTTGCTCACTGTGCCCTCCTGTGCCCTTGGGAGACAAACGTTTCCTTAAGACCTATTTAATCTGCATTTAAAAAAATTAGAAATTAGATATGTTTAATTTTTATTTTGTGTTTGATTGTTAAAACAAAAAATATTTGTGGTCTCAATAAATTGGGTTAATTTAAAAATACAGTGGTTAAATTAAAAAAAAAAAAATTCTATTGAAAAAAATTCAATTTCTATAACTTTTATATTGAAAGTTATAAAAAATGTCAACTATCGATACCGAACGATATGAAACATTATATCATTGATACATTTTTTAGCTATATCGCTCAGCCCTATATTCTATATATAGGGGCATTTCCTCCGAGGAGGCAAGGGAGGCAGTGTCTATGTTTGATATTACAAACATAAATCGCAAATATTACTAAATATGGCATTAAAAGTATAAAAGTCACTCGTTTTTATAAAGTAACACTGTCAAACAGCGACACCCGCAGGTAAAGTTACAGCGGAGGCTTGCCTCCCTTCGGCCCATAGACTTACAACAGAGACCCCTTAGCGTGCCTTGGGTTTAGTGGGGGGTAATAGAGAATGAATGGGGGAAAGTCACGTGAGAGGAGTCATTGCCTCCATCACGCGATAATTGGATATGATCGGTTATTATTGAATGTGATTGGTTCATGTGATAAATCCCGCCTCTTGTTTTTGTGCGAGCTCTTGGCCTGAATGAAGAAAATGATGTCGTTATTGACTAATTATAAAGTAAGTAAACAACTCTCCCGCTTAGATACCACTACTTTGTGTCACGTCAAAATAAAACTTAAAATGGTCTGAAAACTGCGTCAGTTTTTAATGAGCATTCAGCGTGATTAAATGAAAGATATATCTTCGTGTCTGTGGCAGTGTTTACATAGCTTTTATCATGATGACCCGAAAATAAGTCGACTATTAAAAAGAACAGCTGAACATCAGTTCACAAATAAAAAATATTGCTAACATTTTACAATAAGGTGTGATTTAATGAGTTAACTAACATGAACATTTATTACAGTATTTATTAATCTTTGTTTACATTAGTTAATACAAATACAGTTGTTGATTGTTAGTTCACAGTGCATACACTAATGTTAACAAACACAACTTTTGATTTTAATAATGCATTAGTAAATGTTGAAATTAATATTAACTAAGATTAATAAATTATGTAGAAGTAGGTTATTATTTATTCTTGGTTACTGTTAACTAAAGTAGTTAACTAATGTTAATTGTTTCCAAAATATTGTTCAAATTGTTACTGCCTTTAGTTATTATTTTGGAATAAATATAAAAATGCATAAAAACACTATGAAATGTTTAATTAGTATTAAAATATTAAATAAAAGAAAAAATAATATTAATAAAATGCAAAATAGAATTTATTTGTTCTCTTTTTTTTGTGTGACATTTATTTAACCAGGAAAATGTGACATATATATATATATATATGACATATATATAGGCCTATATATGTATGTACATAACTGCCTCCGCATTTTAAAACACCACCGCATATATATATATATAGATAGATAGATATAGAGAGAGAGAGAAAAAATCAGCAAACACTGTGGAACCAATAAGAAACTTTGATTGTTTGTTAGCGAAACGAATAAGAAAGTTTGGAGGCACGGCATACACCTTGATATAAAATAAAATTCTGCCATCGTCTTGTCTTTGTCACCTCACTCTTCTTGTCAGTCAGCTCAACTCACTCTCCTCATTTGATAATTGAAATCTGATTCCTGCTACTGATCTGTGATGCGACTGTCGTTCGGCACGCTGCATTGAGCAAAATGTAAAAATTGTTCAGTTTATAATTGTAGGGTCTGTTCTCTAACTGAACTAAATGATTTTTACTACTATAAAAAAATCAATAAGGCGGTGGCGCTGTGGGCAAGTGATATAACCAGTGTTGCGGCTTAATATCGGTAACACCGACTATCACAGCAAGCATAATGTAGTCCCAACAAAAAATTGTTAACTTAAATGTTACAAATTTAAGTCCATTATGAAATGAAGTTGTGACCGAAATGTTAAAAAATTACTTCAACTCATTTTAACAATTAACTTGAACAAGCAGCTTTTTTTTTTTTTGAGTGTGATATTGAATATGTATGCTATCTTTCTGTCTTACTAATATTCATCTTTTAACCCAGAGCCAAGGACAATTTCACCTTTAAGTGCCACAGGTCCAATGGAACCAATACTGCCACACCCCAAGATATTTATGCTGTGAGTGTTCTAAGTTTTGTGTATTTTTGAAATGCAGTGGATTGCTTGGGCATTTAGTCTAGTCCGAGGTTATGAAAGACAATATTCAGTAAACAGTACTTGTATAATAAACAGAAACTGTAGACTTGCTGTGTGTTTCTCTGTTGTAGGTGAATGCTATCTCCTTTCACCCAGTCCATGGCACTCTGGCGACAGTAGGATCTGATGGGCGCTTCAGTTTCTGGGATAAAGATGCCCGCACTAAGCTGAAGACCTCTGAACAATTAGATCAACCAATAACAGCTTGTTGCTTCAATAACAATGGAAACATATTTGCCTATGCTTCCAGCTATGACTGGTCTAAGGTACAATCTCAATACACATGTAACATTTTGTGTTGACATAAAAAAAGTTATTGTGGTATAGTAAGTATTATAGTCAGTTAGGATATTTCATAGATTAAGCTTCACTTAAGCTCCTATGGTCAATTTCATAGGAGTGTATTTTAAATATGAAGAGAAAATATACATTTATGCAATATTTATGCTTTTAAACATGCATAAGAAATAATTTATTCAGCCTTTTACAAGCTTAGATTCTCCAACCTAGATTCTCTCAGTGTCAAATAGAGTTGAAGGTTTAACATTAAAAAACAGAGCAGTCCATGGGTTGCCTGATTGACTAGTCAACTAATTGTTATGACAGAAGCCCTGTTTATTATACTGGATTTAGCTCCAGCTGACACCAATCAGACGCTTTCAGAGGGAGTGCTTACATAAGATGCATTCTTGTGTTCAAAAATAGTGCAGCAAAATGAAACCAAATCCAGGGGTCTTGAACCATGTTGGTTCAAGTTGAACTTGGCACACTGTCATTGGTTGTCAATGTTTTTATTGTTCAGCTGGGGGGAAAAAAAGTTCTGAAAGTGATTCAATGATATTGTCACTGTCATTTAAAATTGGGGTGTTTTGCCTTTATGATTTGGTATAATGCTGGTTACTTAGAACTGACTGAAGTTCTTATGTTTTCATCCTTTTTTTTTAAAGGGGTCATCGGATGCCCATTTGATATAAGTTGATATGATTCTTTAGGGTCTTAATGAAAAGTCTATAACATCCTTTGGTTAAAATTTTTCATTTTTTCCCCTGTCAAAATGAGCTCTGTTTTTAGCAAGCAATTCTAGTCCATGTTGCTTTAAATGCTAATGAGCTCTGCTCACACCGCCCCTCTCTTCTGTGGGTGACGAGCAGTACTGTTTACTTTAGCCGCCAAACTTGCTAACTAGCACATATTAGGAAAGGCTATTTGCAAAGATTCATAAAAAACCTTATACTCACTTCTTGTGTAGATGAAGCTCGATCACGAATGATTCGCGCGAACATAGACGCATTTAGGCAGATCGGGGATCAGCGCATTCCCTTCAAAACGAAAGTAACGTTAATCCTCTGCGTCTTCAGCGGCTCAGATGTCGAGAGTAAATGACGACTGCTATGTTCATTATTACATCCAACAACAAAACACCTCAATTGCTTAATCGGGAGATGTTATTGTCTTCCCCTGCACTGGTGTCGACACAATGGTGGGTCTAAGGTAAGACACCAGTCCAGTCTGTGCTGAAAAGCTACTGTCAATCAACTATCGTGGGAGGGGCCTGTGCAGAACTACGTCATTCTGACAGGAACCTCAGAACAGCCTGATTTGAGAAGGGGGATTTTAAAATAGGGATTTAAAAAAAAGCACTGGGTGGATTTTTATCATTATAGGATGGATTTTTACACACATTTCCAACACACATTTATGTTCAAACAACAACAAAAGTGAATTTGGCATCCGATGACCCCTTTAATGAACTGACAATCAGTGTGATCTCTGCTCACTTTTATTACTTCTGCTTTGTGTCACAGGGACATGAATATTACAATCCCCAGAAAAAGAATTACATCTTCTTGAGGAATGCGGCTGAGGAACTGAAGCCTCGGAACAAGAAATGGTGAGAGCAGGATATCCATTACCATGGAGAAGGTGTCTTTCACCGGGCAGGGCAGGTGTGCTGCCTGACTTGCACTGACTTTCCTTTCTGTGCAGTTGTGATGCTTTCTGAGTCCTTCTTTGGTATCTTATGATGCATTAATATGTTGCTCTTAGCTCACAGGGATGAATTCTGAAGAAACAGCATCTTTTCTAAAATGGTATATAGAAATGAGGTTCTACTTCAGTTTGATTTTTAAATGTTCAGGATTGGAGAGGATTGACCATTGATTGACTATAATGGTGAACTATTTTTTTTTTTTGTATTCTTGGAAAGCAGTTATATAAATCAAAGCCATATTATGAAAAGTCAGCCTTCAAAAAGTAACTATTTGCAAGGAATTAATATTTTGTTTTGCAGTGCTTTAGTAATATACAGTTCAATTCTTGAATCTTCTGAGGCCTGATGTATAATCATTGTGTGTGCACAAAATAGGCTTTGAAAAGTACATACAACATTTCCCATACAAATATCGGGTTTAAAAATAACTTACCGCACACACTCTGAACTGTGTGTATTGACTCTCTAACTGGTATGTAAGCTAATAGGTGACTCCATTAGTCAAGTAATGGACTGAAGAGAATGATTCAGTTCTCCACTTTTAATTTAATGCTCGACATTTTGCAAAGAGTCTCAAATCTGATTTAATCTAGGATTGAACATTTTAATTTTATGTAAATAATTGAAAAGATATTACAACATAAGCTACAAAATGGAAAGATTTCTAAAGGACAAATTACTTTTCTACTGGTATTCTACAGGGAAGCATGCTTTTAATGATTTTGGTTGTCTTGAATGAAAATTCTGCTTAAATTGACCTAAATGACAAAGAAAAGATTTTAGCTTGATTAACGTTAGATAGCTTGGCAAGATAGAGTAAAGTGATAGACACTTCCATACATATTTGGGAGTCAGACCATTGGTCTTTAGCAACATCTGCTGTTGTCTGTCTGGATTGATCTGATGACACTGTACAGCCACACAGATGTGCCGTTTTGCATTAGCATATGCAGCTCTGCGCAACACTGTGCAGTGCAGTTATACAGAATATAAGCTTAAATACTGCTGAATTTTCAATATTTTAAGTCGCGTGTAAAGGAAGCAGTATTAGTTTTAGAATATAGTACTTTGGCTGTTTTTTTTGTTTTTGTTTTTTTCAACTGTTTTGTTTCCAGCAAAAATATTGAACTATTTTTACTAATACAAGACAAAAGGGCTGATTTAAGAAAATGACAGCCTGCATTTCTTTTCTTATACTGATAAATTGATTCGTATCAGGTGTTTAATGTCTGTGCATGGATATTATATGCTGACTGATCTATTTTTTAGATAAATCTCTTAATACAAGAGCAATGACCTGTAAAACTTGGAACCATTGGAATTGGCCTGTCAGAGAATAAACATGTAATAAATGTTAAGAATTGTGCTTCTCTTGACCATGTGTGCACTTTCGTTCATGGGGAAAACAAAACCAAAAATAAATCTGATTTGAAAAACAGAAGGCTGTATTGACTGACGCCTGCCCTTCCTTGTCTTTAGATTCGTCAAGCTTCACATCACATCTCGGAAGACCTGCGTTTGTGTGTAAATATGGGAGAGAGACCTCAATTTGGCTAACACCTGGACCAATGGCATGGCAATGCATAATTTTTATGGACAAATCAGAAGGTGGCCAACTGCTCATAAGCATTAATGTGAGCAGTGGCTTTTGATACGAGTAAGGAAGCCATGGTTCAGTATTTCTGGTGTAACTGATGTACCTTTTTTCTTTCTTCATGAAGTTCGTTACTTGCAGCTCTTTTATTTCTTGATACTGCCTTACAAAGGAAATGCATGTTCACCTTTACATTTCTTTCTGCTTGGTGTATAATCAAATTGTGTAACCAATAATAAATCTGTCTCAAGCTTTCTCTGCATTTTGACATTGCGCTTGTCTTATTGTCTTGTGTGTGTGTGTGTAGGTGTGTATATATAATATATATGCACATTGCTCTTAGAAACTACTATCATCGATGATGCTTTGAATAAAGTGAAAAAGTGAAACCTTGAATAGTTTTGCATATTTTGTGTTGAAGCAGTTAACTTTTGTCAGTCAAGTAGTGCAACAAATGTGAGAAAAACATGCAGAGACAAAAAAGATCTATAAGTCCCCTAAAATAGATAATTTAACCTTTTTATGACATGGCAAAGTTCAGGTTGTAAAATGTCTTTATAAAAAAAAATTTTTTTTTTAAAAACGACAACTAGTAGATCGTTTAGGTGTAAGGAAAATGTTTTTGCTTGAATGTTATACCACATGTAAGAGTAAGTAGTGTTTTTTTTTTTTTTTTTAAATACTGTTTTTTTTTTTTTTTCCAAAACCACTTGAAACCAACATGAATACAAAGATTAAATATCTAAGAACTTGCACATGATTTTTAAAATAGATTTTCTAAAAAGTTTTTTCTGTTGTCTTTATATACATTATTTGTAACCCTTTTAACCTGGAAGGCGCTCACAAGGGCTCACTTGCCGACGGGTGCATTTAGCGGGATTTAGGACTAGTAAACTGATCAAAGTTTTTTAAAAGGTGTTCTTTCTGGGGATGGAGATTGATTCAAACATGATAACGGCTTGCCCCTCACATGACACACATATCAAAGCAACCTTGTTTTAGCCAGGCCTCTGTCACTTTGTTTTTTCTAGCACCTTTAGCAAATGGTAGCCTATCAAGTGTCCCAGAACAAGGTTGTCACCACAGCTGGGGAACCTTGTGCAATGGGCAACCAGTATATAGTACTTGGGATGCTACGTAGTACATAAATTGCCTAAAAGTTCTTTTGCTACTTTATGCCTTTATGCTACAACTTAATGCACTGCTGATGGAACTGGTCTCTGGTCATTACACAAAATTAATCTTTACACCTATCTGATCATGTTACAACTAAAGACATTTTTGTACAAATAACCTTTCTGAGTTACATGAATGTGACCACATTTAAAGAAATAATAACATCATAGTCTGGTTCTTGCGAGAAAGTCTGCGAGTTGATTGTACAACACAACACTGATTTCAAAAACGTTGAGTAAAGATGTGGCTTTGTATTGAGTCTCTAGTTCAGGAGGTTGATGGGGTTTTCGGAGAATGGCGTCGGCGTGGGGAGATATTTCTGATGGTGACAATGATCAAGACATGGATTTTCAGGAAGTAAGATACAATAAAAGGAAAAAAAGAGCAGCATGGGTGATGGATCTGATTGTGAGCAAACAAAGTAAGACATACAAGAATTGAAGCTGATAAAGAGGTTGAAGAAAGAAATCAAAGTGATAATTACTTTTGCTAAGCAGAACAACAAACTCATCTTGTTAAACTATCAAAAGCAATCGAGAAAGAGGGATAGTGAAAGCTGTATCTTGTCTTAGCAATGGAAGAATAATGATTAAATGCAAGGATGAACAACAGAAGCATAACATTCTGAAAATGAAAACCCTGGCAGGAGGAAGGATAGCATGCACAGAAATAGGCAATAAAGTTCGAGGGGTTATTTCAGGAGTACCTCTTAATGTAAATATGGATGATATTAAAGGAAGTCTGAGTGGAGGAACAGTGATCTCTGCTAGAAGATTGCAGATGTGGAAAGACAATAAAAGATGTGAAAGCATGAGCGTAATGATTCAGTTTGAAGGAAGTACTCTGCCGATAAGAGTGAAGCTAGGATTTGTAAGCTTCTTGGTACGAGAGTTCATACCTCCACCTTTGAGATGTTTCAAATGCCAACGAATGGAACATACTGCAAATCTTTGTAAAGGGAAAATGCGATGTGCAAAATGCGGGGGAGAACATGAATATGGCAAGTGTGAGGAGGGTGTAGAGATTAAATGCTGTAATTGTGGGGGAGGACATAGCGCAGCATATGCAGGATGCCCTGTACAACAAGCTCGTGAAGTACAAAAAATAAAAACAGTGCAAAATTTAACATATGCAGAAGCTAAGGTAAAAGCCAAAGGTATAGTTGAAACAAAGAGAACTAATTTGCAAGGAATCAGGACGGAATCCTATACCCAGAAAGGAGTAACTCCTGAGAGGAATGAATCAGATCTACATATTATGATGAATAAAATTGACCTTGTGGCATTCATTTGTGCGGTGGTAAATGGCACTTCACAAGTGGAAAGGAAATCGGACAAGTTAAAGATTATCGTAGAATGTGCTAACAAATTTCTCAAGTTAACAGGAGTTACAGCAGAGGAGGTCCATGGGATTTTGAAAGCAAAGGAAGGAACTGCTGCTTTGGATACGACTCAGAGTAATAATAAATAGTTGTATAATATCTTGGAGTTACAGCGGAGGAGGTCCATGGGATTTTGAAAGCAAAGGAAAGAACTGCTGCTTTGGATATGACTCAGAGTAATAATACATAGTTGTATAATGTCTTTCCTACTACTACATGGAATGCCAGGAGCTTAATAGCAAATGGGCAAGAATTTAAAAAACATATCACAGAAATGGAAAAGGCACCAGACATCATGTGTATTCAGGAGACATGGTTAAATAGCTCCTTGGATTTTAAGATCAATGGATATGTAGTAGAGAGGAAAGATAGAGAAACTGGAAGAGGGGGAGGGGGAGGGTGTGCAACATTTATTAAAGAAGGCATAGCATATAAGAGAATATACAAAAGTAATAATGTAGAATGTGTAAGTATAGAAGTAATGGGAATACATGAAGAAATTAGAATTACAAATTTTTATAATCCATGCAAAGAAATAAGTAATACTGTATTAGAAGAAGTGATGGGTGATACACGGAGTAAAATTATTATATGTGGGGATTTTAATGCACATAATGATTTATGGGGTAGTAAATATACAGACAATAATGGGATAGTTATAGAAGAATTTATAGAAGAGCACTTGCTTGTATGTTTGAATGATGGGAAACCAACAAGAATGGATATAATTAAAGGTGGCATGTCATGTTTAGATCTCACAATAACATCAGCTGCCTTAGCCGGTAAGTGTACTTGGACTGTACATGAAGATAATTTGGGCAGTGATCATTGGCCTGTAGTTTGTGAGATTCAGAGTGCAGTCCAAAGGCAAAACTTTAATCAGTCTGCAAGATGGGGATTTAAGCAGGCAAAATGGAAGGAATTTTATGGAGAAGGGAAGGGAATTTTGGAAGGGAATATTGAGGAGAAATATAATAAGGTAGTAGGAGAAATAATTTCTGCAGCAAACCAATCTATACCGTTAATAAGAGGTAATAGAAAGAAAAAGAAAAGTGTACCGTGGTGGTCTGAAGAGTGCACAGTGGCAATTAGAGAGAGGAATAAGGCATTCCGGATTTTAAAAAGGTTAATAACTCAAGATACAGTTGTAGAATATCAGAAGAAAAGGGCAGCTGCAAGAAGGGTAATTAAAAGTGCAAAGAGAAAGGCTTGGCAGGAATTCTGTAACACAATTGGGAGAGAGACTGGAATGCATGTGGTATGGAGAATGATTAGGAAAATGAATGGTATTAATAATTATAAACAGATCCCTGTAATTGAAGAGGAAGGAAAAATAGCTAGAACTAATAAAGAAAAGACAGAAGTCTTAGCCAAAACTTTTCAAGAGGTCCTCACTGCAGCCTGTAGCACGACGACGTAGCTGGATCAGATCCAATACGTATTGGATTTGACGAGCATGCGCAGTATTGGATTTTAATGCGCATGCGCAAAGTGGGGCTGTCATTGAAGCTGGTATTTAATGTAAATTAAACTGTAATTATTACGAGATATAGGCCTAGGTGTGTTTCATAGGCTTACACAAATTATATTATACTGTGATTTTAAACTAGTAGTGTATTCAAACTTTATTTAAGCAACGATGGCGTTTTTACATTGTAATGTAATGTAGGTCATCGTGTAGATATGTAATGTAGGTCATCGTGTAGATATGTAATGTAGGTCATCGTGTAGATATGTAATGTAGGTCATCGTGTAGATATGTAATGTAGGTCATCGTGTAGATATGTAATGTAGGTCAAAAACCCTTGCTACATGTACTGCGTTAGACTTCACTTAGACCAAGTCGTTAGACTAAGTCGCTGTGGATAAAAGCGTCTGCAAAATGATAAAATGTATTTATTCGAGACCTACTACAGCGCATGCGCGTAAAATATCCACTACGTAGTGGATATAGTCCAGCTACGTCATTGTGCTGCAGGCTGCAGCGAGGACACACTCAAACTTTTGCTGAAGTTCATAATATTGAAAACTTGAATGATAAGTTCTTAAAAAGAAGACAAGAGTTAAGTAAAATATATGAGAATGTTCGTATGAAAAAACAAGGAGTTGATAGTAATATGGATGAGGATTTTTACTTTTGAGTTAAAAATAGCCATTAACAATTCAAAGAATACAACGCCAGGGAGAGACATGATCAGTTACAGTATGTTAAAAAATGTACCAGAAGTAGCCGTTAAAGCATTAATGGATTTATATAATCATATATGGAATGAAGGCACGTGTATATATATATATATATATATATGTATAATATATATTTATCTATATATAAGTCTTAATACTGTCTAGTATATACTATGGGTGTGCAGTGTATGGTGCTGCAGCAAAATCAGAATTAAATAAACTGGACAACATACAGTCTAGAGCACTTATAATCTGCTGTGGAGCAATAAGGTCAACCCCTCTAGATGCCATCAGGGTCGAAATGGGGGAGATGCCATTAGATTTAAGAAGAGAAAAGCTTGGGATGATGTATTGGGTTAATTTA